AAATCGATGCTGCAGCAGATCAGCACTATCATGGATTTGCTCTATGCTCATTCTCGCCAACTTGTGGCCTGATGCTACAGAAACCGCCAGCCCCGCATGTCCTGCTCGTGACCCTGAGCCCCCGTTACTCCCCTTGGACACCTGCCTATGGAACCTCCAACCTCAATCGCACCAAAAAAATTCACCGGTGAGATGATGGACGTAGTATCTTGCCGGTCTAATATGGGAACATGGTCTCTCGCTCCAGACTTTCTGACCTAATGACATTCTGCTCCTCTGCAAGCGTGTCCTCAGACTCAAAAACCCGCATTCAAGGCCTGGTAAAATAATCCCCACTCGTTCAAACTCCTCAAACTTTCACTCTTCGCCATTTGCCTACAAACCTCAACGCGCCCCGCGTGGTACATAGATATACCTGTGGCCTTCGCTCCATGCTGACCTTCTTGGCAGAGCCTATAACACATAAACACAGTTACCTAACCTTGGTCCTTATCAAGCTCTACCCCCCTGGCCAACCGCACGCTACCCACCGACATCCACAATACACAGCTGCCTACCTCGCCTTCTCCGGAGCCAAGCGTAATTTTACCTTTACGACCCTTAAAAAGTACACCAAGCTATACACATCACGTGCCCGGAAGAACCTCGAATCCACAACGACCGACGACTAAATCCGAGCCCCATCTGTTTCCGCTACCCAATTCGCCAACTTGTGTCCCACCTGAACATCATTTTCGGCGGCCAGACAGCCCCCAAAAGCCACTCCCTTTTTGCGTCCTACTCCCTCTACACCTGATGATGCGGAAGACGACATGACTAACAACTCTATATTCAGCTGCGTGCCATCCTTGCAAAGCCATTCCTTACTCTATACTGAGCCCGACCATTACCTCATGCCGCGGATTCAGACCTTTAAACGGACTATTACCCATCTACAACCGGCATTAAATACTCCTCTCCGGAATTCTAAAATTTTTCCGTACCACTTCACCTCAATGTACCAAGTTCCTCCAGTACTAAATTCCACTGTGAATGAGGTTATAGAGTTTCCACTTTGGAGGTCCGGATTCATGGGCGCGAAACCAATATTTCAAGGTCAGGTTTTGTAGATTTTTTTCATTCTAACCCATCCGTAGGTCTTGAGCCAGTTTTTTAATACTGGGTAGTTATTTTTCACGGTGCCAAATAGGCTTTCTTTTCTCCAGTAGGCCTAATCAGTGCTAGCCCCATTTTGCAGAGTGTGCCTAGTCCTCATCTACATTGTCGTTCCGTCCAATGTTCCGCCACTGTTCCACGCTTCCACAGTCCTATCTGAGCTACCAGCTCACATATGCAACTGAGACTGACTGTGACGGTCTTACTACAATCCATAGTTCTCCTACTAGCCTAGAACTCTCAACTGCATTCCACAAAATCAATAATTCCCCAACCTGCTTCAAAGTTTCTCCTTATGACGCGCACCCGTCTTCCTCAAAGCGGTCGCTAGACCCCGGATGCTTATCAGCTATCCCCCCGGCATGTTCGAAGAAGCGGTTTAGACCCAGAAGATCCAGCTCCCAACCCTCTCACCTCTCGAATCAGGCAAAGACAGTATCCCAGGCAACCTCAGATTGTTCAGTTGTTCTAACTGTCATATCCTTGCCTCCTCAACCCGGCAACACTCTCACCGTTACCAGTAGGTTCTGAAGTCCTGAATGACCTAGAAAATCTCAAAACCCGTGTGCGCCAAATGGAGAACAAAATGTCCTCCCTCCGAACCATACAATCGATTGCATGCCTTCTGAATCCTGACGCCACATGCGATCAAACAAACTTAGAAAAAGCGTCACTTCTTATTGACACCATAGCTACTGAGATTAGTCAACGCATCGAATGCCGGTATCAAGTATTAATATTCAATGCATCCGATCGAATCCCACTTGAACATGCCAAAACTGCCATCCTGAATGCATGTGGCATGCGGGACACCATATGCAAAGCTCGGCGACTCCGGAAGTCGAATCCATCCATGTGCTGCCCGATAGTAATGCAATTCCGGGATGAAAAAGATGCCGCGCGTCTGATAGCAGCCCGGACTCTTCTCTCATCTACCAAAAAATTCCATACCTTAAAACTTAAAGCTGCTCGTACAAGAATGCAAAGACAGCTTACCAAATGGTTACAAAAACCTGTTGCATCGTCATCCACCAGTATTTGTGCTGACAAGTGCCACAATGCTACAAAAAGCTGTCGTTGTACCCAGACTGCTGATTTAAGAGATACGGTAACTTATCAGCCCACACACGAGGCTGTGGTGGAGAATGATAGCACAGGTTCTCACTCTAGACCTCCTGACCTAATGACACTTCGTGTCTCCCCACCAAAGGGCTCCCTTGGACTAGAGCACCTGCTGTTCAAGCCTCGCGCCGTAACCCCTTCTCCTGTACCAACTCCCCGAGCTTCTGCTCTTCGCCCTTCTACAAACCTGACGAAACCCTTAATTCCTCATAAGCACATCTGTAGCCCCTCTAGCTGTGCAACTCAATACCCTGGCAGGGTCTCTAAACATAAACTACCGCTACGTAATCCTAGACCCTATCAAGTTCTGCCCCTCTGAAAACCTGCGTACTATATGCCTGGGATCCATTTTCAGCAACTATCTACTTCACCACAGCCTTTACCCCCTCCGAAGACACGTGCAGCCCCACCTCTACGACCTTTAGCTGTATCTCGACTTCCTACTCCAAACCTCCTTCAAATACAGCCAACGCAGAGGATTCCTGCTCACTCCCGACGAAGCTCACCCCCCAGAGAGTTTAATTATATCACCAACTTCCCCACTGAACCCTGTCCTCTCCCTTTACCTTGCATCGCTTACCTTAAACCTCTTATTCCATCTCCTCCAATCAGCCCAGTTTGGCTACCCGTTCCCTCCGCCCCCTACTATTCGATGCTGAAGGCTCTACAAAACAGACCCACCCGCCCTCTCAGTGCCCCTGCATTACCCTCTTATTCCCTGTCTCTTAAACACTTCTCCTGCCCTTCCATCCCGCGTGACCTAAATCCCGCTGTTTCTGTTGAGCTACCAGACACGGTACCACCTCCTGACTATGTCGATTATATTATTGCAAACGATTGCCCGACCCAGCCTGCTTCTCTTTGTCCATGGAGCTCCGCTACCCGCTCTGCCACCCAAACTCTGCCTCAGTGCCCATCGCGGTACGCCCCAGCATCTTATTCTCACGTATCTTTACCTGGTCCTAGTTCGCCTACCAATTCGAGAACCCCCGATTCCCCTGCCTCTACTCCATTCCATACTGACCTCCCTGGGCTTGTCAACTTCCTGCTAGCCACATTAGCCACCTCCACCGATCCCGCTACAATCCTTCTGTCGTTCTAATCAACTCCCGCGCTCTCTCACCTAAATTGCGCTACATCCAAGCTATCTCCACTATAGCTCGTCCAACCTTCGTTTGCATCACAGAGACGTGGCTCTCTCCTAGCACACCTGATGCCCTTATCTCCCTTCCGACCTACACTATCTTCCATTCTGATCGTTCCCACCGCCGTGGAGGTGGTTGCCTCATATACGCCAGAACTGAAATGGAAGTCTCCACCATTGGCGACCCCCTACTGGCGATCACTCCAGACTCTGTTTGGTTTTCTGCCTGTCCGGCTAATCCACCGTTCATCCCCGGGAGTTTGTACACGCCCCCTCCCCACTCCATTAGCTCGACTAATCGTCTATCTACGCTTCTTTCTCACATTCAAGCTCTACCTCACCCGAACAATCTAATTGTTGGGGATCTCAGCCTTCCTGAGATTGCCTGGTCTCAACAAAACTCCTCTTTGCGCCTTTCGCCCCTGCTAACCCAACTTACTGTCGAAGGCTGGTTCCAGCTTGTAAGGCAACCAACACGCAGTACCCACTCCCTGAACATTGCCCTTGTCAACGGCTATCTGTGTCCCATGCTGCAGTTGGTCCGAAGTTTCCTGACAGCGACCACTGTATTGTAACTTGCAGCTGGACAAGTACGCTAACTTCAGCTACTCTTCCTCCCTTGACCTCTTTCATACTTTCCCCGGGCATTCTTGAAACCTTTGAAATCTCATTGCACCATAAGACCTGGGACGAGTTCTTTCTCTCTGGTGACACGCAAAACGTGGCGAACATAGTTTACGGCAACTTGCTATCATCATTATATCTAGTTGCTCCCACACGACCTTCCTATGCTTCTGGTTGTCATCCAGCCACACGAATACCCGCTACACACCATAAACTTAGGAAGTATCATAGGCTCTTCCTTGAATCCCATGATCTCTCCCTCCTTATTGTAATCAACAAACTTATGACTGATATTACCACGGCCAAACTAGCCCTTGAAAAGCGTGAGGAATCGACCGCCGTGGCCCATTTTCTACAGCCTAAGATGCTGGGGCGCCTCTTCCGCCGGCGTTGCTTCTCAACTTCATCTGCAGTTTAAAATATTGTGGCCGCTGACGAGAGATCTCTCTGACCCTGCTGACATTGTGGAATTCCTAAACTCCTACTTCGCTAGCTGCTATGTTCCCTCCCCATCGACTCTATCTACTTATTGCTCCCGACTGGCTATGAAGTGGCCACATCTGCTAACGAGACAAGCCCCAGCCTCTGCACACTCTCTGTTACTTTGTCTGGCGTAACTTCGTCTCTCGCCCGCCTTGGAGACTCCAGTTTCCCAGGTACTGACGGCATCCCTTTGCTTATCTTAAAATCTGGTGGCCCGGACGTCCCCACCATCATCCTTAATCTCTTCAATACCTCCCTTATCACTGGCACAGTCCCTAGTCAGTGGAAGCACTCTACGGTTGCCCCACACTATAAGTCAGGTCCACGAACTGCTCTAGCCAGCTATCGTGGTATCCACCATACCTGCTTACTACTTCGTACCCTAGAGCGCCTCATCAAAGTTCCTGTCATGGAATACCTGCTCGCCACCAAAACCCTTAGCAATCGGCAGTATGGGTTTATGGCACGGCGGTCAGCTAACACATGCCAGGTTGACTTCTTCAATCATATTTCGTCCGCCTACGATACCGGACTGTGTATTATCCTTATCTATCTTGATATTCGCAAGGCCTTCGACCAAGTTCCCCACGGTGCACTCCTCAATAAACTACAAACTGAGGGGATTGGTGGCCCACTACTGCGATGGTTCGCTTCTTACCTCACCGGTAGAACCCAGGCCACCAAAATCGGGGATCTCTGCTCCTCAGCCCTCCCCATTACCAGTGGAGTTATTCAGGATAGTGTGCTTGGCCCTCTACTGTTCTTACTGTACATTAATAACGTCACCGACTCGATCACCCATGGATCCCCTTTTCTGTTTGCTGATGACATTAAGATAGCTTACACGTTTAAGGCCAGTGATTCTGCTTCTACCCTTCCTAACATTCAGTCTGACTTAAACTCTTTATCACTCTGGTCTTCCAACTCCTGTCTTTCTTTCGCTGTTCCAAAATGCCAAGCCCTGTCATATCGATATTCCTTTCCTCCTGGGACGCTTACCCTTAACGGTCTCTCCAATCCTACTCTTCCTGAAGTGAGAGACCTAGGCCTTAGGTATTCCATTTAGCTTCCATGTAAGGTAGAGAGTGGCTAAAGCTCACAAGCTCTGCGCTTACATTCGCCGATCCTTTCATAATAAATCCTGTTTAATTGCCATTTTTAAACAATTTGTAAGACCAGTTCTTGAATCCAGCCCTGAATTCGCCTCACAGTATTCACACACATGCCGGACTGCTGTGGAGAATGTGCAGCGCCCGTTTACTAAGACCCTGTTTCCGGTGTCATCTACACTGCCGCATCGGCTTCGCTGCTTATCACTTGGGCTGAATCCATTATGGCTAAGGCGCATCAGGTTGAATCTAGGCCTCCTGCATCGCTTAATCTACCGACGGGCTTACATAGCTGACTGCGGCCCTGAATTTGCTTCCCGTACTCCCGATAATATCCGTAAATCAGGATGTTTACCCTCACTGTCGACATGTCGAGCTGTCTTTAGACAAAACTATTTCCTTTGTCTTTATTCTAAATTATGGAACAAGCTCTTCTCCCATATCCGTACTATCTCATCTCACGTTGGCTTTCGAAAGGCCATCGATTCTTACCTTTCTATTGAGGGAGCTGAGCGCCTTTTTGCGCCTCAGCTTACACTAGATACTTTTTTGAAATAGGCTCTAAGCCCTTCTAACCTGCGCACTCACCCTGACTGTCCTGTTATTAGGTCCTAGAACTCACACTTACCAGCCTGAAGCCCTTAGCGTTAGTCCGCAGGTGCGGCGACCACCCTCCCAAGTGTTCTTATAATACATATTCCCAACTAGTGGGTAGCATACCGTCGGGCATGATCACAGTATTACAGTCAGAATAGAGGTATGACTGGTGGGGTTTGTGATCAATGGGAAAAGGGAAAGTGACGTAAACAGTAAACATTAATGGAGTAGAGTTCATCAAACCTGAGTTGGCATAGGTAGGAATCCAAAATTACAAGGTCTCTTTATGTCCTATGGAGAACATATCAGATGGCACGAGATCTGAACGTTAGGGTTTAAAAGTGGCGGGCAAAGAAAACAATACAAATGATAGCATAACAAAGAGCTTCCTGACTGGAACGTGACAAAAAGAAAAACTTCAAACTACAGGAAGTGTAGGGCCGGAATAATGGATATGGAGAGGCAGCAGAGCTGCCACGACATGGCAGGCCGGTTTGAA